AACTTGGATACCAAACATTATGGAGTATGGTAAGCAAATAACATTATTATTATAACACAAACATTATACCTATACGGCACTGGGTGTAGACATCTTAATTTTAATTAAGTATAATAAATCTTAATTTCTTAAATTTATAGTTGTTTTGAGAGTTAATTACAGTTACAGACAACAATTTAAACAAACGTTTTTTTTAAAAAAAAAAAAAATTGGTGGGTGGGTGGGTAATTTTTTTAGTTGCATGTGCTCTCAAAATACTTCTGTACGCCACTGTATATGTAGTATATTTAAGACGATTCAAAAAATAAACTTTCATTACATAAATACTAGTACCATTTAAAATTAACAATAACTTAAAAATAATTAAATAAACTTGCAATTTTAAGTTTAAAAATTAACAAAATTAACAAGATTCTTAAAAATCTATAAATATGCAATTATATGTATAATATTTAAAACATGCAAAAATATTAGTGATGCACAACGATATTTTTTCCGTTTTCGATATCGGTTCATTGATATCTATATCATATCGTGATATCGAAAAACAAACGATGTATCGATATAAATTATTAATTTAGAATAATAATAGACTAAAAAAAAATTGATTGGCGGTTTTTTTTTTTAGAATTAATATTTTTTACATTAAAAAAGTATAAAAAAAGTTTTCATATTATATTATTATAAACAAAAATTAAAAAATTAAAATTGAATTAAAATTATAGGTACATTATTTATTTTGCATCTACTATAGGTACCTCCGAGTGTTGTATAATTAATTCCTGAAAATATAAATACATTTAAAATTATTAAGTATTTAGCTATTCATTATTTTATTGGTATATGTCACACGACCTCCAGGTAATGGTACTATCTTAATAGAATTCATAATTGTTACTTAATTGTAAATATCAGAGACGATGTATAAACTCAACGCAGACAACGGAAAAAACTAACTATAAAAAACCAACAGTCACAGCTATACGTCTATTGTAAAAGCTTTATCGTATTGCTTATCGTTAATGTTTAATCATTCTTTGACATTGATTCATTGTCAAAATTTATATAAATAGAAATTAGAAATTTTAAATTGCAACGAATTGATATCAATTTTCGATATCGGTAAAATGTTGGATATTTACCTACGATGTCATATTCCGAAATCGAATATTATTTTTGTCATATCGATATCGGTAAAATTGGTCTGATATCGATATCAAAATATGACATCATTGTGCGTCACTAAAAATTATGCAAAATAAAAATAATTATATTTAATTGACATTAAGCCAAATTGTGGTCATACTGAAAACCAATCAATTTGGACTTGGGAAAAAAATATGCAAATGCTTATAAATTCTAGCCCTATTTATTACCAATCATAATCGTCAGATTTACATAAATTAAAACTAAAGTAAAGATTTTTAATAAATTTAGAAATATTTTGTTTACAAGATCAAAATGATATTATACATGATATAATTTGGACGTTAGAGTACTATAAATTAAAATATTAAGTTTAAGTACATGTTATACACTAATCATTGCTCGTTTTTTTATGTAATTGTTTATTGCTTTCTAGTGTTTACAAATTATGATCCCTAAGTTTTATTTTTATTAAACAATACTAAAAAAATATATTTAAATTAAAATGTTGTAAAACCCCGAATGATTTTAGCAGTTCGGACTTTTACAAGCGAATTTTGGTAAATCTTAGGATTAACAATCAATGATTGAAAAAGTCCGAAATAATATATTTTTTCCAATTCTGTAATAATTCTTAGCTACCTGTAATTATTTTTGTGCATTGGTGTTGATATCAATAGTTTTAATTTATATACTTAGTTTAATTTTTGACTGTGATACGAATTATAATAAAATTTTTAATCATTGTGTCTTCAATGATTAAGATGGAACAGATTTAATAGAAGATTAATTTAATAAACTGATATCAGAGCCAATTGCAGGAATTAATTTTACGAGCAGTATTCGTTTTACAATTTTCTTGGTTAGTATTACGAGTATAGTATTATTATCTATAATAGTATCTATTAAATAAATCGCTTACAATTAAAGCCGGGTTATGGTGGGGTCTAGCCGAGGTGGTAGCTCTGGGGCCCTTTCGAGTACCCAAGTGAAAGGGACCCAAACAATTTTAAGTCGATACACATTTTTATCATACTAAAATGAGTAGTTTTATAGACATAAATTATATATACCTATTAATTTTATAATTTTACAGTGCAATTGACAATTTATGAAATAGTTAAAAAAATGTATTGTTCCACGAGCGTAGCGAGCAGCTTTGTAAAGCATGTTTTGTCAAAAGGTCCCATATAAAATTTCAGCCCCGGGGCTTAATAAGTGCTTAATCCGGCCTTGCTTACAATACAATTTTATGAAATTTTTTATGGTGTTGTGGAGTTAAAAATTAACAAAAATAATTATTATTTAATTGAGGAAAAATAAAATATATTTTAAAGTGAAGTTAAAGTGAGTGAAGTTAAAGTAGCTAAATCTGTTGATGTGAAAAAAACAGTTCACTATCGGCGATTTAAACATTTTGATATTGTTAATTTTGCTGGTGAATAAAAACTGATTGTTCCGATGAATGATGACTCCGAAGCAATGCATTATTATATTCGATATAATGTATGAAATTAGTAACATATACAAAAATGTTAACACTGAGGGAATAAATATTTATATAGGTAAGAATTATCACAGAATTGGAAAAAATATATAATTTCGGAATTTCACAAACATTGATTAATGCTAAGATTTACCAAAACTCGCTTGTTAAAGTCCGAACTACTAAAATCATTCAGGGTTTAACCAAAGAATAATTTATATCCTAGGTTTTACCGAAATCAATTGGTAAATGTCCGAATTTCGGACATTTACCGATCGCAGTCTGTAAAACCTAGGATTAACCAGTAAATCCTAGGTTTCATCGGTATTCGTATTATTACCGTAACATATAATATATATACAATATTTACTTTTTAATGGTACAGTAAAAAAAAATAAATGGACTGTCCTGATTTATAGTATTGTTAAATGTCAATAGAAAATTAGATAATTTAAATAACATTTATATAATTTAGTTTTAACTTAAGTATACAATTTGCTGACATATAAATTAAATATGTGTGAAAAACATGAATTTAAAATTAAACAAATTTCCTAAGTATGATAATTTAATGTGTAATACACATAATTATATAAGCTAATAAAAATTGTCTCAGTTTTTTATTTTTATTATAGCTTTAATTCAAGATAATACTGTTTGACAATTAGTAAATATATTTGATTTACATTGGCTTGTTAAATATATATTACTGTAAATTTAATTATAACCAATAATATTTAATATTTGAATAAAAATAATAACTATAAAATACAGAATATAAAATTTATATTTAATAAATTAATTGTTTAATTTTGTATTTGCATTTGATGTAAGTAGTAGAGAATAAGAATGTATAAATGTGTATTAATTATATAACCATAATCTCCAACAGTATACTAAATCATTTTATTTAACAATTGTTATAACTCATGATTTTAAATTATGATAACAATAATTTAAACAAATTAGTATATATTCAAAATATATTATTAATTGTAACAAATATTTGCTTTTAAGTTATATACAAATACTGAGAGTAATACAATTACTCATTGATACAATAAAGAATATTAACATTATGATATTCAGTGGATTAATTTTATATAGTTAACCTAATATAGTAAAAATATTTTTATTATTAAAGTTTATTCAAATATGTTAAAAAAAGGTTTGTACAGTATGAAATTTTGAAAGCATACTTGTGAATTACTAATAAATATTTTAAATTTTCTTTCAATTTCTTTAATATATTAATCTTTCAAATTTCTTTTCATACTATTTTAAAATTATAAACAATTGTTAAAACCTCTGTTAAAACTGAAAATTAAGAAAAATAATAGAATAATGACAAGTACAACAACAATAATTATTGTTGATGAATTTAAAATAATTGGCATTTAACCTAAAACACCTAGTAAAATTTGCTTCAAATTTTTTAATTTTTTAATTTTTAGTTTTCTTTTTCAACACAAAATAAGATATTTACATGCTTAGTTATAGGAAACTTAAATTCTTATATTAGTTTATTATATTCACATATACGAATAATATTTTTAATATAAATTAATCTGTGAGTATGATTATTTATTATTATCAAGAGTTACTATAAAAATACTTATATTTTAATAAATTGTAAAACATAGAGTGTATGTTATGATTAAAACATTTTAAACAATAAAATCTAGCTAACCAATTAATTTTCAAATTTTCTTATTTGTTCTAAGTAGAATCTGTAAATTAATTAAATCCTAATTCAAGTAATGTTTTACAATATATTTATATATGTGGGATTCTATAGTCAAAATAAAACAATTATTAATATCGGTATTACTAATCACTTTATAGAAAAATAGCACACATTAAATATATCACAACACTAGGAAAAAAGTTTTGATTGTTAATACTAAGGACTTACGACAATGTTAGACGCACCACTCTGTCACTGACTAGCAGATCGCCCGAGCATGTTGCGAGTGTCCTCTGTCAGAGAGGTCCCTTCTCCACATATGTATCATGAATTATACTTAAGTTGTTTATCTCTTCAAATAGTTATTTGAAGATTTGTAGCATACCCCCAGTTACTCAACGGTATTTATTAATACAGTATCTGATAATAATGCTCAAATTGTTAAAGTTAGTAAAATAGTAATGTATAAATTATACATTAATTAATTGAAAGATACATTATTTTTTTTTCACAATATCTGTTAATACAATGTTTCTTAAAACTAAATCTTATTATCAGATACATATTATAATTTAGTTATTTAATATTATTTTATTAATTATTATATATAAAAAATTTTTTTAACATTTTATTAATATTTATTCTTTAATTGCTGATTACAATTTTTCTGTCTCTTTCTACTTGACTTATCAATACAATATATATATATATATATATAAGATTGACTTAAATTTTATTTTTGTTAGTAAAAAATTAAATATACATCTTGTGTATATGACATCAGCGACTGGATCATGTGTGTATGTTATATCCTCATGAGCTGTTAAACAGATTATGGAATGACATTCATGTAAATTAAAAGTTTCTCCCCTTGGTTTTTTGAATTTGCTGTTGCATGCCGTCAATACAACAGTTCAAATGAAGAATGTGTGTTAGGATATTTCCAAATAAATACTGAATATAAGTTTAACTGTTATTTATTGAAATATTTCTAAATAAAAAGTATTAAGTATTTGACAAATAGACTGGAGTTGCGTATTGCCATTGTATTGCCATGCGTATTATCAGTTCAACCGATGAAGAGTAGATATGAGAGGATAGGTTGATTAAATAATTACTAGACTTTAAATATTTTATTATTTATTGATAAATTATTCTGTCCAAAAAATTTTATTAACTTAAATTATTTCTAAGTACCTACAATAAATCATTAATCTATCTAGTGTGAAGGTGCTTACTAAGCTTGGACTGAAACACATCTGAATATTGGTCTGTTAGTAACCCCTTTATATACTCAGGTCTTGTGAGAATCAATCACTATGTAAAAGTTGTTCCTGATAATTATAAATATAAGATTTATTACTTTAGTGACCTCGCTAATATTACTATTCGCACGTCTCTCATATTTTGTTGTGCTTCTTTTTAATTGCTTTTTTAATATTACACTTTAAAATGTAGCCATACAGTTCATATATAACATGTGTTTGTGTTACTTTCTGATTTTAATTAATAATTAATAATCATTTCCCGATTTCTATTATTTATGATTTATTTTGTTCCTCCTATGTAGTAAGAGTCGTAAGGACCTACATCTTATATGTCCGTAACACTGGCATAAATGTGGGTCTATTTAGGACTACCTTATATACCCCATGGATGTGTGTGATCCTGTGGCATTCTCTTTTCTCAAGAACTACTTTGACCATCTAAACCTTTTTTATGTTCTCGTCTTTTTAAGTATAATATTCCTAAGGTGGTGAACCTCTCATAACTTGTATTTGCATACTTGTTTTATCCTACAACCTTTCATCTATTTTAATCGTACTACTGGTGCTTTTATATATTAATTATATAGAGTTGTTCTGATATTCTTAATACTTTATGTGAAATGTGGTTTCCCATATAACAGTACTCGTAAGGACTGACATTTATGTGTTTCTGTAACATTACCAAAGTCAATTGAAAATAATACTCGATTTCCTTTACACACATCCTTAATTACAAATTCGTAAGGGCTAAAGTAATAATTTCATAAGTGTATGTCTTTACAAGTGTCAATATCTCTGGCTTCTTTACCGCTAATACCCGTTTCGTGATTCCGACAACATGATTGTGGTTTTGGTGATGGTATTGTTTACTTTCCTGTTTTTCTTTATGAAAATTAGTTTTCCAACTAATTTTACTCATTGAAATTAATTTAGGCTATTTAGCATTACTCCATTTGTTAAAAGCCATTCTCTTTTTGGTAATAAAGTAAAATTTGAAATTGAATATGATAATTTTGATGTTTGAACTAAAAATAATAATACATGAATTAATGTTTAATTAAACTGTTATTTTATTAAAATAAAATAGGTTTTTTTTTAAAGATTTATTCTATTAAGTAATTTATAGCAAAATATTTAACACTGCGATGGTGATGATGTTTTGGTAGGTGTATAATGTTGTGATAGATCCTACAATTTTCTAGTTCGTAATTAGTTGTATAAAACTAGTTGCTATATTGTTTCAATGAAAAATATGTTATTATATTGTTTTATAATGTCCCCAAATAAATTTGGTTGGACCATATAGTTTTCATAATATATATAAGGTGCTTGTTTGCTATTTTGTTTGATCTAATAATAAGACCCATAGTTCAATTCATTAACCTCCACGTGTACCATCACCATTGCCAATATTATCATAAATCTATGAATAATTTAAATAAAACATTTGGTTTTTTGTTTTTTATTACCTAAACATTTGTTTGTATTCTATTGCTGTATTTTATATAATTGTGCCGCTTATAATCTTCAAATGTATTGCACTTTCATTGAACAGTATGAAATAAGCTGAAACAATTTAGGAGTATTAATTTTTATTTAAAAATGTTAATACTTTTAAAATTAGTATACATACAAAAATATTATATTGTTTAGTAAGTTTTTAAACTAGTTTGTGTCTGGAAAAAGTAATTTTTCTAATAAATTCTGTATAAATTTGCTATTCCAAATTAATTTCAATAACATTCCTTAATGTAGTATGACAGACCTGTAAAAAAAAAAAAAAAATTGTGTTTAATATTCAATGAAAATCGAACACTAAATTTAAATTGTACTTATTTTCTAAGTTTAAGTTTTATTAATTTCAGTTAAAAATATTAAGTTAATGAATAATATGAAAATAATATTTTTCACTACTTCAAATAGTAAAATATTAACTTTGAATTATTTAATTAAGTGTTAAAGATGTATATCATAGTTGGCAAAAGCAATTTTTTTAATTTAAAAATAATTCATTATTACTAGTAGCGGCACAATGCAGGTTTTAATGAAGCAGCCGCTTCATATAAAATGGAGTAAGTTTGGTTGACCACCCTTGTCTTAAACCTTCACTTGTCTTTACATCCCCTTTTTCCCTTTCTTCCCTGACCATATTAAAAAATGTATATTAAATATAACTTAATTTAAACATGATAAACTGGTTTAGTACAGACATAAGCATTTGTATTCTAAAATAAAATAAATAGTAAATTTAATGTAATAAAATGTAATTTAATGTAATAAAATGTAATTTAA